CATCTGTCTGTTTAAATTTTGTACTAATTTTGACTGTCTTTAAAGTAATCCATTAAATGAGATATGATTTATTCATTTTAACTGATAGGTAAATTCAGGCACCTCCCTGTTGTGGAAAATGGTGAAGTCATTGCCATACTGGATATCACCAGATGTCTTTATGATGCAATAGTCAGGACGGAGAAGGCTGCCGAGCAGAGCAGTGTCATTGCTGCTGCTGTTGAAGGGGTGGAGCGCCACCGGGGTAGCACTGCATCTGGTTGGTTAACAATTATCTTTACATCCACTTCCGTGCATATGTTTATACTGCATCTGCCATCCTTGAGTTCAGAAGTTTTATGTTCTTTTAACATGAAATCTATTATTTGGCATATTAGCTGAAACGACTGTTTGAGCGAACAAATATTGTAGACTTTTATCGTTGTGACTAAAATTAGACACGGGATTTGATAGTTTGTAGAAAAAGATATGAAGTGAATTACTAAATGAGTGAAATAAGTGCTCTATGGTTGTTGCTATCTGTTAACTTTTTTTTTCTTTTCTTGGAGGATATTTTATTTTAACTCCTTGTATATATTAATTTTTATTGATCAAACCATTAAATATTTTGATATTAACTCAATGTTCAGGCACATCAAATTTTAGATCAGTAAGCATTTGTAGTTATGTAATCTTGTAGTCAGCATTAATGATTGGATCTATAAAATGTAATATGTACTAAGAGTTGTTGAGGATAGTGGCTCTACCAAGATTTACTTTTCGAGGAACTCGATCTATCCTTATATTTATAAAGAAGTATGTCATTTTAAGAAACTCACATGACTTGTATGTTTTAATCTTGACCTTTCATTATAATATTTAATGGTCAATATTTATTCATTTCTCACTCACAAAAAGGTTCTTCTCACTATATATATATATATATATATATATAATCATATTGTAAATGTTATATTTTACCTACTCTTTAACTGGATATTGTGTTTTTCTTATATATGATATTAGCAATTTTAGTTTCTATTCATAGTTATGCGCACTATAGTTTGTCTTATCCTCTTGCTCTCTGATTCTTCTGTTTATTTATTTATCCTCCTTTATTTCTCAATTTCTTTCACATCATAATCAAATAGTCATATTAATAATAAAAAAATTAACTTTAGAAGGAGTTGGCAAAATGTGGTGTCTATCTGTGAGAAGACTTTTTTTTTTATTTGTTCTGATCTGTGCAATGTGTTCTTAGTAACTATATTTGAATGTGATACTTTAGTGGTTGACTTTTAAGGGTTTCATTGTTGGTATTAAGCTAAGTAGACGAATGGGGAACCAAACTGATGAGTGATTACCATGTGTTTTTGAGTTCTCTGTTGTTAGCTTCTCATAGTCCTAGCTTTATCCTTATGTAAGTGTTTGAATTGGCCATATTTGAATATTTCTGCTTCATTTTGTAATGATGCTAATTTTCTGTTTTAATTGCTACAATATTTACCAGCTAGTGCTTTGGTAGAGACATTGAGGGAGCGCATGTTCAAACCGTCCCTGTCAACTCTAATGAATGAAAATACAAAGTAATTTTCACATTATATTTTCTTGTTTTTTTATATATTGCTGCTAGATGATAGCGTAAATGGATAAAATTGTTTTACAAAGTTCTGTAGCTTTATGTTTCTAGGGTTGCTATAGCATCACCTGCTGATCCCGTCTATGTAGCTGCAAAGAAGATGCAGGAATTGCGCGTTAATTCAGCTGTTATTGTGTCTCTGTCAGGAACCAAGATTCAGGGGATACTCACGTAAGATCTTTTACTAAGACTTTATTCACATTTTGAAGTCGAGGTTATGGAATAATTTACACAATTGCTTGTTTTCATATAGAAGAACTCTAAATTTAGGGCTATAAAATATATTGTTATCTGGTAGGATCCTGGCATTTTATTACAGAAAATAGGAAAAACGGAGGATAAAAACACTTTAGAACTTCTCAAGGATCTGCAACCCTCTCCTCTTGCTGAGGCCCCAAAACCGTAGTCAATTCTTGCCCATCTCACCATATCCCTCCTTTATTCTTTTTCACTTTCGTGCATAACCTTCTAACAAGTAGCAATCCCCTTGCTTGATTTCTCTCTCAATCTTGCCACATGGACGGGAGGTAATGCGGTTGCCCTATGGGGATTTTCCAACCACTCCTACTTCCCACCTTATCTGCCTCAATCCTCTAATACTAATTGGATCCTTCCTAATTTGCACCTTAACCATTGTAATATGCTAAACGTTCTCTGTGTATCTCATGCAGTTCAAAGGACATACTAATGCGTGTTGTGGCTCAAAATATTTCTCCTCAGTTGACTCTAGTGGAAAAGGTTTCTATTTCATTCTATTATTTGTTGACATAAGTGGAAAAGGAGGGTTATTTTGAGAGGAATATTCTTTTGTTTAGTTCTGACTTTTGCTAGATATTCAGAACTGAGTAGATTTTCTTCTTTCCCTTTCTCACTTAGGTAATGACTCCAAATCCAGATTGTGCATCGGTAGATACAACAATATTGGATGCACTGCATATGATGCATGATGGGAAATTCTTACATCTTCCTGTGATAGACAAAGGTGATCTTTACTTTTCTAACTTTGTAGCAGTCTATTAATTCTGACCTTGTGCTGACTATTTATTCTTATTTCTGCAGATGGATATGTTGTTGCTTGTATGGATGTTTTGCAGATAACCCATGCAGCAATTTCGATGGTAAAATTCATGTTTCTGATTGATTATTCTTCTGTGAGGTGTTCATTCATATGCATTTGTGTGTGTATGTGTGTAGGTTATGTATTTATATTTTCCATCTGTTTTGGAGATTCCCATTCATCATATTTGATTATTATCTCCTTAAGTAACATAATGTTGTACCCAGGTAATCTTGTTTAGATTTAGTTCTGTTGTTCTGGTTAGAATTCCTAAGCATAATACTTTTTATATCTATCTGGTGGGGTGTGCTCCTTTATTACTGTTGAAAGTCTATCATATTGTGTAGTAAAATTCATGTATTTTTTTTTGCATTAACAGTTGATACTGTTATACAGATACCAATTTCTGATTACTAAAATGTACTTTGTTTGTAGGTTCAGAGTAGCTCTGGAGCTGTTAATGATATGGCAAATACAATTATGCAAAAGTTTTGGGACTCAGCTCTTAATCTAGAGCCACCAGAAGATTCCGATACTCATAGGTAGTCTGGTTGTGTAGATGTTTACACAAAAGGTTTGTGTTTGTTCTGAACCATGAATTGACGACCTATTTGATGTTCTATTGCAGTGAAATTTCTGGGGTAGATACAGCAAAATCTGGAAGCCAATCTGTTGGTTATGCAAATTCATTTGCCTTCAAATTAGAGGATCTCAGTGGTCGCGTGCATCGATTCAACTGTGGTGAGTTGACTGCTTTGGTAAAATATTGATGCTTTTAAGAGTTCCTTTTTTTCCCGTCTTTGATGCTAGACGCAAACATAGTGCACACTTTTATCTGAACCCCGGCCATGTAATCTTTATCATCTTGCCTACCTCTCTGATTCTTATGAGAATTTACAATGAATGTGTTGCTTTTTTCTTTAGGTACTGAACGTCTAGATGAGCTAGTTTCTACAGTCATGCAGAGAGTTGATGTTAATGATGGAGAACGCCCTACAATTTTGGTGTGTTTCATGCTCCTAAATTTCTTCTGCCTTTTTGTGAGAGTATGATGTGTGTTCATTATCATGCTGACTTTTTCCTCCTTTTTATAGTACGAGGACGATGAAGGTGATAAGATTGTTCTTGTAACTGATAGTGATCTTGCTACGGCTGTCAGCTGTGCTAGGTCTGCAGGAGTGAAGGTGAAGATATCTGCTTCTTCTAGCTTTTTCATTGACATATCAATTTGCTTCTAATATAAAGCCTCTTTGTATTTCAGGCTTTGAAGTTGCATTTGGATTTTGGCAGTTTAATAAAAGCAAGAAGTCCAAATCCTTGTACAGCTACTATACAGAAAACCAGTGTTATTTCTGTAAGCTCCATTACATTTGCAAGTGCACTTGCTATAGCAAGCGTTGGCATGTTAGTCTACTTAAGGCACTCCAAACATTGAGATGTATTGCTTGTTTAGGGGGACAAAAAAAGCAATAATCGCTCTGTACGAGTTCAAGAGCACTTATTGCCTTTTAAAGGCTCATTACAATTAAGGGAATCTAAATCTTGGATACTGAAATAGGCCAATGATTTGAGGTTCGTAATCTTGAGTCTTTTTGTTTTCGGGCTAGTCCCCCGTGGTGAAACCAAGGTGATTAGTTAACATAGCCACTTGTATTTTTTGTCTCTGATGTAATTGCAAACATCAACTCCTCGTCCTTCGTTCTGGGAATATATACGTATAGGTAATGTCTTGGCATAATTGATGTCAAAGACGTTCTTTTTTTGCATCAATATAAATAGCATTTCAAATGAGTTATTTATCTTAATTTTTTTATAGAATTATTACAGAACATATTTAAATATTTTGCATAAATTTATTTTAATGCTAAAGTTGATAAAGTGAGTGTTTAATTTAATTTTACCACCTTAATAATTGACCCCATATTAATATTAAAAACATTTTTAATTAATGTTTCTCATTCAAAGTATAATACTTGTGTAATATCGATGTTTTTAATACTATGCAACCTATATGAACAACACCAGAGATTATGCAATGATTTCCTGTGAATTCAGATAATACTTGCAACGAACTTCCCGTTTCATCATCATGAAATATCTGCTAACACCTTCCTGGTTCTACCATGATGTTTGCTCGGTCTGGTTTGTGGAATACTCCAAGCCTAAGGGGGGTTAAATTCATTTTTCCCTGCCAAAGTATCACCAAGTTTCTGATATTTTGTTGCGAAATTTGTTACTGCTTGTGCTCAACGGGGAATTTCTTTAATGCTCTAATTAATTTAAAGATTTTTTAGTTAGTTCACGAATTGTTTCTCAAATTTAATTAGTATAATTATGTACGTTCTTAGGGAAGGCAAAGCCAGCGTTTATCATAGCTTTTACAATTATTTCATATAAACGTGTTAGACAGTACAGTAAATTGATTAAGAGCAGATTTAACCATTTTGTGATTCAAACCTTTCTGCCAGACGATAATTGCAGACTTCATGCGTTATTTATTCCACCAGCTCAAAATGTATTACTTTGAAAGTAAATAGGAATTACTGTTATCCTTTCCTAAATAATAATATTAATAACGTGTAATCTTATCAGTACAGATGAGAATGTCACAGGATACAGAACTATATATTGAAATGATTATATTTTGTTGCCATCTCTTGTGACCGTTACAATGTAAAGGGACCATGTCGTGCCATCTGTATCTGAAACTCTTCCTTGTCCATTGCTATAAACTCACTCTCTCTCTCTCTCTATGTCTCTCTCTCTCTCTCTCACACACACACAACTAGATCACACAAACAATGATTCCTTACGGCGACATGCTCAAAGGATCATTTGAATGTAAACAACTTCAAGTATCCTCCATTGTCAGAGATGTGAACTACAGGTGATTCAGTGTGTCCTCTAATCCAACACTCTGTATATCATTCCTAGATGTTAATGTTATTTAGTGTAAATTTTGAGCTTTCAAATGCAACCATGTGTGATGTGTTTCCTTTGCATGTCTTGTATGTAGCTGTGGTTCGTGTGGTTATGAGCTGAACTTGAACTCCAGCAACCGCAACACTGGTCTCATAGACTCAAAGTCCATAAAGAGAGGCATAATTTCCTTCTTCTCTGTGGATGAGAGCAGGTTCACTCAGATCCAGCAACTTCCCTGGTCATTTTGGATTCCCTTTTTCAACTCCAAGCGCCAACAAAGAACCAAGCTCCTTTGCCGCAACTGTGCCAGCCACCTGGGCTATGCCTACACTTTGCCCTCCCAATCCCAATCCTGGGATGGCATCTCTGATGATTCCAGAATTTATGATATAAAACTCACCGCTTTGTTACCTTCCTTCTGCGAGGAACCATCTCAAAGGTTAGAGAATATGGCCAAGTACGAGAGTGCATCTTCCACTGTGGTGTTCTAATTCTGTAAGGAACAGGGACATATACAGTTTCTTGTTTACTTTTAAAGTCTAGGGTTGGTCGGGGTTGTTTTGTAGTGATGTGAATCAATGTATCTACTTTTTTATTAACCTTAGTGTGATGATATTTTGTCAAGATTCTTTATTTTCTTGAATGTGTTGAATGTGCTTGGTTGATCATATAAATCTTGTGGACTCTGCCTAGCTTTTTGTATATTGTATAATCTCCTTGTTATTTTACAATTTTGAATTTGGAACAACCTAAAGGGATAGACACCTCCAAATGCAACAGCAATGAGTCTTTACCTTCACCTTTTTGTTAATTCATGCAGTAATCTTCATTTCCCGTTATTTTCTCTCATGTCCTTAAAGTGATTAGTCTGCCCTATAATCACTTTTAATTGAAGAACATGGTAAGATAAAAAGAACTGCAGAAAACATACACTTCCAAACTTTCCCTTGAGATATGACTTTGTCTGTAAAAACTTCAATGAAGGAACAGAATAAGAAAGATTTCATTATATGCCAATAAAAACCGTAGCCTCACAGTGTGGAATTTTTCCTTTGATAAGTACCTTCCCTCAAGCCAATTTGGACAGAAGGAAAAGAAAAACGAAACCAAGAATCTTGTGTTAATGTAAGCACAAATTCTATTTGAACCAATATATATGTATATACAGCTTTTAGTCAACCCAATTTATGTCCAGCTGTGTTAATTCTGTAAGCCATTTTTGTGGATCTTGAGAAACAGTGGGTCTAGATGGTGTCTTGATCTCAATATCTACATCAGGTGATGCTACATCATCCTCAACTTTCTTGTCTTTGTCAAGGTTGCCCTGTTTGCTTTTCTGTCTCCTCACCTTAAGGGACAGAAGGCGAGAAACCTGATTAAGTCCACCCCACTTTTCCAATGCACGAGCAATATCAAAGCGTCCTGTGGGAAAATTCCATTATATACTAATTTCAAAATGAAAGTGAGATAAGTTACAGCCATGTCATGTAACAAATTTCATCCATCTTTCTTTCTTAGACTTGAAAGTGAGTGAAACTATGGTTTGTTGTTGGAATCAATAAAATCAAAGGTTTGGAGAGTATCTCGACTTACCTGCACGTTCAAATGACTTTCTGCTGGGCATAAATGAAGGGTCCATTCCCCAGCTCCTTTGAAATCTACTTATCTGCATTAACAAATGAGTTACATTCTGATTGAATAAGTAAACAATGTTATACTTATGCATGCTCTTTACATGAAATAATCTTTAATATAGGTACATAACCTTATCCTTCTTAATGTCCTTACATGAACCGCAACTTATGAATAAATTAAATAAAGAGAGCTTCTATAAAAGCTAAGTGCATGTATTAATTTTAAATAGATGAGACTCATTTCATTTTGCCTTATTTTTTTTCTTAAAAGTATTTGTAAAAGAAATTTATGAAATAAGGTCCTAAGTGTTAACTAGAAAGGAACTTTTGCAGCTCACCTCATCATGCAAATTTTCAAGATTGTCCCAGTAACCCTTTGGTTTGCGGTGTTTGTAAGCCAGAGAGAGGTTCATCATAATTGCAATCTTTCTGAACCCCCCCATGCGATTTATAGCCTTCTCAATGTCAACTCTTCCATGCAAACGAAGTTGCTTCCTCATTGGCATGAATCCTTCTTGTCCATGTTCTGCAATGAATTTCAGGATTTCAGATTTAAGGACTTCAATGTCCCTTTGTAATCCTGGAACTCTTCGTCTTTGTTGTGATAAGCTTTGAGCATTGCAATCAGACAACTCTTCAGCTGAACAATAGCTGTCGTCATCTGCAAAGCCAGATGGAGCAGTTTGCTGCCTTGAATTTGTATTTTGCTTACTTTCCAAAATATTTGATGCTGTCCTGTTCTCAATATAATCTCTTATTGCACACAAGTTTGATGGGAGATCTTCATAAATGACCTGAAATAATATTGTTAAGAGAGTAACAATTCCCTATTCAAATACATTGTATATGAATACAAATGATTACAAATTTGTAACACTTCTCTCTCTAAGGAAAACAGGACATGGATAAATGAAGTATCTTGCTTCCACTTATATTGGTTACAAATACTGAGTAACTTTCTATTTTAGATGACTGAGCTTTCATTTTCTATAAAAAGGTTATCTTAGGTGAAACACAATGAACCGTAAACTTTAGCACAGTGATACAGATCAACTAAATCGAATCAAATAATTCACAAACACCTCTTCCATGATAGCTTCAGAAAGGAACGTGTCTTTGCGCATTTTTGACTCCACAGAGTACTTCAGCAGTGTATGATGATTTCCAAGTTGCTCAAAAGTCCACTTTCCCTGGAATGAGTCAAAGTCCCCTTCAACCTGTTCAAAACTGATCTCTTGTTCTAAATATTCACACAAGTCCAGCACAACACGAGCATGAAGCACCATATAAAGCAGGCCCTTACACCCTTCCTGAATATTGATTATATTAGGGAATCACAAACTCACAATTTATGGATAACTTGTGTCACAAGTTCATAATTGTAATAGTCACTGAGAAGGAGAACTTGTGCATTTTATTGAAGGTGGAATAATAGTTGGTACTAATACAGTGACAAGCAAACAAACTAGGATATAAACTGTTATTCAAATTGCACCATACCTGGAGAATGCGGACTTTATTGTTATCTCGTGATAAAATCTTACTGATAGCTAAATTTGGAACTATTCTGCAATGAATGATTTTATTTCAAGTCAGGAAAATTAGACATGGGATCTGGCAGAATCTTCTGCAGTACACACTACTTACTCAGGAAGAGTCTCATAGGAAGACATGGCATTCCATACATCACTAACAGGAGCTTTAACTGTTATGCTTGCAAAAACACAGCGATGAACACCTCCATTTTCCTTAACATGAACACATGGAAAAACTTTGATCACAAATTTAGCTCGTTCTCAGAACTAAGGCCAACACACAGAAATTTTAGTTCAGGTGAGTTACCAAAAGTCCATCAAATCTACGGAGATGAATTTCATCCACCACACAAGGCCTGTCAAGACTGCAAGTTTTTCCAAATGCACCCCAATTATTGATATTCACCTCACTGGAAGACAAGGGCAAGGAACCAGAAATTGAGGGAACTAAATCTTCTTTGTTTTCTCCAGGAGACAACTTATTCTTTTCACACGAAGAACTATTTGTCTTTTGGGTAGATGACCCATAAATATCAGTAGAAGTTTTATCCAAGTCATTTTCTGGCAGGGAAAGTTTCTGATTTCCTGAAATATTCCTTTCGACTCTATATGCCAAGGCTCGAAGGTTCACGGGAAGATCAGATCTGATAATCCTTTCCAAGAATATGGCTGGGAAATTGAATCTTGGTATAACATTAACTTCATAAGATACATTAGTTGATGAAGATCTGCAAGAAAACACAATTGAATATAACTTCTTAAACAGCCTTAAGGTGTCCAATGAGTTCAGCAGCAAAATCAAAATATAGTCTCTACATCATACAAGGGTTGTCAGCAATCAATGGCTATCAAGGGTACAGGTTCTACCTTGTTCCAGATTTTACAGACCATTTGCCCTCAAACTTCTTAAAGTCTCCATCAACCATGGAAAAGTGAAGTTCTCGGTCCCATGCCTGAGGAGCATTAAAAAAAAATATGTATCAAATATGCAGTGAGTACCTTCTTTGTATGAGAACAATTCTTGAGAAAGTTTTCCATCAATCAAGTAATGGCTGTATGGCAATTTGGCTTTGGGTGCCTGGCAAGGATGCACAGTGACTTAGACTATAAAATGAACACTTCAAATACTTCTAGCTGTCTTATACAATTTATTTATTTACTGAATTCATATCTAATACAAGAGAATAATCACTAAAGAAAATTATTGTCTTTTTTCTATTCTTATTAAGGTTTAAATAAACCATGGCTGTATTGAGTCTTATAAACTTTAAAACTTCATGTATCCTTGCATATCTTTAACAGTGTCCACTATATTTAATAAGATGAAATCTAACGTAGATGTTGATGCAAACGACATGAGTTGTATGTGACAGAGGTCAAGTGAGTCAAGCTGCTACACGTTTAATAGGGAAGAATTGTGTGGTGAGTATTAGTTATAACTTTTAATCCAATAATTGGTATCTGAGTATGGTATTGTTCAACATTTTGAATCCTAATTATCAAACTCTTAACTTTTTCTCACGTTAAGAGTTTAGTGGGTTTGTATCCACTTCAATAGTGAATGCAGTAACTGAATCACAGAAGAATAAGAAGTTATTTCCAAGTGTTTACGGATGAGATGCTCACAGAATTGATGAATTCTTGAAGATCCAACACAACTCGAGCTTCTATGTGCCAATACATTGACCTTTGAAATCCTCTTTGCTCTAACCATATCCGTCCAGGATATGGGCAAGGTATTTTTCCACTGTCAAACAAGCAAACAAACAATGCAATCAGTCATAATCTCGTACAAAACTTACTTGAAAAGCACTACCAATATTAGTAATTATCCAACCAAAGTATACATTTCATTTCGCTAATCACTTCCAGTTTTAGTTTTAAAGAAAAGAAAAAAAGCATCAACTATTGCGATGAAATGGCAACATTGATTAGAGGAAAAACATCTAACCACTTACATTACTTTGGTTCGATAAGTCTTTCATTGTCATTTTTCTCGTATAATATCTATCATGTTTTATAAATTACCTCCACACAAGGTTTGGAATGAAATCAGCAAGATGCTCATAATCGGTGAGAGCGTTCCAAATGGATTCAATGTCAGCATTGACAGAAATTTCAGCCTTAACTCTCCTTTCCCTCCAAGAAACCACTTGAACCTCGCACTGCACTTCACGTTCGACCTCTTCATTTTCTTCCTCTACCCCATTCTGATTACCATTCCCAACTTCTTTCTCACACCGCACTCTGGGTTTGCAGGGAGTTGAGGAAACCGCAATGCCCTTGTAAGCAGAGTGAGAAGGGAAACAGAGGGTGAGAGATAGAAGCGGTGGTTTGCATAGGAAACGCAGCGAAAGAGGTTGTGCTCCTCCGAGGTTGGTGGTTGAAGAAGTTGGGGAAGTGGTGATCATGTCATGAGAGACAGAGAGGGCACAGTGAGTGGTGGAGAAGCTGAGGTGGTGTGGTTGTCGATGATGTTGTCGTTCATGTCAGCCATTGCTGAGTGGAGTTCATGCATGGATAAGAGCCACCAGTCATTGCTTTTGTCGTTTTCTGCTACAGTTCGCACTTTTCGTATGAATTGGTGGTTCTCATGCACACACGTTGGTGCCTTTTCTTTCTATCCACAG